TCTATGAGTAACTCAAGATCTGGTTTCCCAAGTCCCAACAGTGCAAGCAATTTGAGTATAGTAAGTCAAACAAAGAAATACTCCACAATATAATACAGAAACTATTGAACGCAATAATAATWAAAATAAACTTTATTTCATGAGGGTAGCACGTGACAGTTTTGCAACGTATGACGCTGTGGCTTGTAAACTTACTATTCTCACCTTGACATTTCTTAGTGACAACACAGAGAACCTAAGAAATAACAGAAAGAAAAAAAAACGTCCTYTTTTCACGAGGGTAGCACTTAATAGCCATTGGCTAACAAACCTGTGGCCCTCATTCCATGATCGAATTGGAATTTAGGACTTGATTTTTGCGAAAGTAAGGAATTCATAATAACCTGTTATTATTATTTTAGAATGTACGAGAACAGCAGAAAGAAACGCGAACTAAAGATGGGAGGAGAAGGATTACTCCAGTTTTAGTGGCACAGATGGATGTCAAGTGAGTCTTGGCATTTCTTATACACATTACGTTATACAGTGCAGCCCCTATTATTGCAGCATTGTCATTTTCTTATGTTGTAATATCTCTCTATGCCTTTTTCCCTTTTTTAGCGATACTCCTCTACCGTATGGGAGCAGCCAGACAGCACCGGCGCCATCAGCAGCACCAGCAGCACCAGCACCAGCACTGGCAACAACCTCTGCCAGTGCAACTGATCTGACTAAGATACCAACATCACAGGTAACCATAAGCGATAGTGACTAACGCCTGGTAATAGTCCACAATGGTTTATTAAGGTGGACTATAATAAACGATGGTGAAAAGTGACAAACCAGGGGCATTATGGTCAACATTGCATACAATGACTAATGACTATACTGTACGATGGAAGCAGTATCGACTTTGGATGACGTTTTTTAATTATAGGGAACTTTGATTGCATTAATAGGCCCTTTGCAGCTCAGCAATCACGTGCTGATTAATTTACTGAGAGCAAATGAATGAACATTTTGATTCCCATGGGTGAAATTTACTGGACTGCAAACAAACTTTCTACAACCTGTTTCGAGAGATCGTAATAAAACTGCATTTCGTAATACACATGTTTTCATTCAGTTCTTTACAAGTAGCTAAAAAGGATCACCAATTTAATATAAAAACAAAAATTTTGCAGTCCAGTACAGACACGTGACCGTTAACTGCAAAGGGCCTATTACTCTGCTCGGAAATGACTCAAATGGATCCTTCTCAAAATTATCTTGGATGCAAGGCTAACACGAAGACACAAAAGAAATCAAACTTTTTCTTGATGGAATTTGTGGCATTTCTTTTGTATTTCTCGTTAACCTCACACCCAAGAAAAAACTTTTTGAAGGGCCCATTGGCTGTGGATGTTTTACATGGAGCATTCCAGTTAACCAACTCTAAAGTTAATCTTTTTGATCCCCAGAGTCTGTCTGCGTTACACTCTAGAATCGGAGAACAGTCAACCACAGGTTTTAAGGAAAGGTAATTACTCTTCATCAAAGTCTGCGCTTTTTATATGCAAGGAATAACCTTTATACAAGTGTATGATGTAACTTAGACTGATARATCTATAGTATGATGCTCTGGCAAGCTGTATGTATCTCAGAATGCATGAACGTGGTGGTCATCTAGAAAGAGTGCTTGTATGCATCGACAGTATGTATGTCTCGTTGATAGTTATAACATTAGGACGATTTGTGATTCATTTTGCAGCTCTAAAGACATCAAGATCACAGAAAAGTCAACAATATCGTTTGTCAAAGCAACGACAACTACGACCAAGAGTACTTCATCTGCCGTCCACTCATCACCATTAAAGACGACATCAGTGACCCATCATCCATCGCCTACCAAGTCCAACGCTGCCAGTCATCATGCGTCTCCTTCTAAAAGTGTATCAGCATCATCCACGAACAGTGCGGCTGTGACGGTATCGGTGAAACGCAAGGGTGATGCGACTGTTACTGGAACTGCAAAAAGAGTACGCAAGGACGCAAAGGAGCAAGGTAAAGCATTGTAGTTCAATGATTGTTTTTTCTTTCTCTCTTTCTCTCTTTTATCTAGCCATTTTTTCATCTTCACTCCACATTCTTTACTTTCGAACGTTCCTTTTCCTTTAATTCCCTTCTCTTTCCCTCCCGTTTGCAAGGTAAAACATTGCGCATCTTGTGATTGTTTGTCTTCCTAACATTTATTCTTGCTTTTTTCTTTACTGCGCATGCTCTTTGCCTTTAATCTCTCCTCTCCTCTCCTCTCCATTTTTATGCCATTCCAACCTTACTAGTTTCCACCATGCTCAAACTCTGTTTTTTAATTTTAAAACAAATTTATTGGCCGTTTGTCGTTGTACACAAAGTACTAACTCAGATCTTTCCATGTTTCGTTTGCAGCAACCAAGTCCTCCAGCACGTCTTCCGTAAGTGTTTGAAAATTCTTCGTTTGCTGGTACATGTTACATTATTGGCGCCATGTTGTTGGTATTTACAATACTTGAATGGATCAATACTACTTTTCTTGATAAATGTGTTGTCTTTGCAGTCTCGTCAACGAGAAGACCATGCTCACCATGATGACAGCATCGCTACGGTGTCTTCCGTACGGCACACTGTCTGCATTCCATCACCCGCTGCAGAAAAATCTCTGACTGTACAGGTATATAACAAATAAAGATATAAAGACATTACACGAATAATCCGCTAAAATACTAGTTACCATGAATCCGTTTTTGCAGCTCGCTGGCAGCGGTACAGATATCGTCACGTTGGAGCTGGAAAACAATCTCGGCTCATCAGGTACATCTATGTCGCTTTGTTGATGTTGATGTTGTTAAATGATGGTACATGTATGTGTCGTTGTTGATGATGATGATGTTGATAAGGGTGGTGCATGTTGACGATGATGATGATGATGATAATGTTAAGGGTGGTGCATGTTGTTGTTGATGATGATGTCGATAAGGGTGGTGCATGTTGTTGTTGATGATGATAGTGCATGCAATATTTTCCCTGTGCTATCTAGTTTTCTCATCACCCAATGATATTTCGTTTATCGCTATTCTCCACAGTCAATGCTGTCCATATCGTCAAATGTGTATCTGCTGGCAAGGTATCTTGGGAAGCAATGTTGACCAGTCCTGGTATCGCTTTGGCAGGCAACAGGTATGTTGTTACCTCTGTAACAGTTCAATCGGCAGTAAACTACTGTCCATCAAGTAAATCGTGAGTTAAAGATAAATTGGACTAAAAGGTTTTCTCTATGATGGGGTTCCTGTGGAATTGGCGGGAACTTTCGCGCCAAAACGACGCGTTAACCCAGAAGTGGGTCGAATATTAAAAGTCGGGTCGCAGCTCTATATGTCACCTAGACGTATTGGAATGATGAACCTGATAAATATGAATAAATACCTGGTAACCTTATAAGTTTTTTTATCCTTTTTTCATCAGAAATGTCGTTTGCGTAGCTTGTGCAAATAAAAGTCTAAACATATTTTCATTCGGAGGAAAGAGGTAGGTGAAAATTCGCCGTATTTTTTATTACAGAAATTTCGATTAAACACCTTATCTTTCTTTGTTCTTTCTGTTAGAATAATGCCAATCCTCATACTGGATGCAACAGCATCCATCTTGCAATGCAGTAGCAACTACGTCATGACAGTGACGTCATCAGGGGGCGTGTATGTCTGGTGAGTGACACATGTCAATCCACATGGTATCGAAAGGCGAAATACTGGTTTATTTAATTCTTTTTTGTTAGTATTTTTTTGTGTGAAAATTATTATTATTATTATTATTATTATTATTCCTTTAAATTTTTTTGTTTTTTTGTTAGGGATTCGAAACTTTCTACTGCTGTGATCAAAAACGAATCGGCTCTTGCAGTCTTATCAGGTATTTTTATTTGTTCAAACTATTTTTTCTCTGTTTTAAATCCTTTGTTTTTGAAGGGGATAATGACAAATAATAGCCAATCATATAGCGTCTTCTAATGGACTTATACGTTCATCGTAACGAAGCCAATCGGGATGCAGGATGCAATGAACCCTTCTCCAAAGTATCTTTGATGCAAGGCTAACATGGAAATACAAAAGAAATCACACTTTTTCTTGTTGGATTCGTGGCTCTTCTTTTGTATTCTCATGTAGGCCTTGCATTCAAGACAATTTTAACGAGGTTACATACTGTTGTGAAAAGTTATTAACAGACCAAGCGTAGCCAATCAGGAATGAAGATTCGCAATAGTCCACTAGTTTGTAAATGAGCAAAAAATCAGCACTGTGTGTTGTAATAATGTTTCTTATGTTTCTTTATTTTGTGTTTTCATGTCAGGCCACGACATCACTATCGCGCGAACCAGTATCACAGACAAAGGTCATCCAGTCATCACTCTCTCGAACCAGTGCTCTTACTCATTTGATCCAACCGTGGGAACTTGGTAAGGAATAGTCTAGCAAAGACAAGAATGGGAACCCTGTGGTTTAATGTACCAATGCTTTGTGTTTTTCCCCCAGGATACAACTTGTTCGAGCTGATGACTGTCTGGCTTTGAATGCTGACTACAAGGCAAATGCACCCAGTCAAGATCCCTTTGATATTAGAGGCCCTCTAGCTCAACTCCAGGGCCAAAGCACGAGGTATGTTTTGATAACACTCATTAAGATCCTGATAAACAATATTGGGCTTCCTGTAGTAGCGCTTGGGGAAATTAGTTCCCAATGCCCTCGCGACTCCAGACTTGTATTCTCCGATTACACGTTACGTCATCGTTGCCTGTCGGGGGAGCGCTGGTGCTATTTAACAAAATATTTCTCATTAGCATCCATTGTTAACGGCACCAAGATGGCCGCCATGTTTTTGTCTTTTAACCATCTTGGGAATACTTGCAAGCCATCAATTAAGTAACCTGTCGGTTTTATCGTGAAACTTCTTGTCAAGATACTTTGTCACGTGGCTATTCTCTTTCATCACGTGATGTGTGTGTGTTATTGTGTTGGCAGGCTGGCACATCAAGGTGGTCGAATGTTTCGTTCTAATCCTGGACGTCAGCAGACTGCTACTGTTTCTCATTTGGAGGTACGTTGAATCTTATTAGCAGTTTTCGCATGAATACGAAAAGCTCAGTGTCGTGCCGTGACCGTAATCTTTTCTAGAATTTTGACTTGCTGAATTGCGCAATGGGATTGGTCCGGCAGTGCCGTGACCTTGGCGTGACCGTGTCCGCGCCGTGTTTATGCCGTGTTCCGGGTATTTGATTGGATGGAGAGTAAATTCTCGTGCAATGTGATTGGGCTGTCGTATTCCTTGTCGTGTCACGATGGTGTTCGTGTCATGAGCTTTTCACAGTCATACGAAAACTGCTCTATAAGTACTGTAAGGACACATGAGAGATTCGAAGTTTTGTTAAGCCTGATTTACATGAGCAACGCAAACGCATGAGCAATGTATTTGCTTTTGCATTTGATAAAACGCATTAAAATCGAATACGCGAGCAAATCAACAAAACAGGGTTTTGTGGACGTAAATCAAAGTGATTCCATGTGTTTCCATGACATCGTCTAAAAAAACGAAGTTTTCATGGGCACGTGAATATGGAATGCCATGGAAACGCCTTGATTGACGTACGCCAAAACCTACTTCATCGCGACGATGATTATGCGCGTGCTACTGAGAAACACTGTTGAGAATGCAAAATGACATTTTGATCTGTTTCAATCTCCATGTCCCTAAAGTCCGATATTTATATCTCAGAATGACTCGAGTTTTTCATTTTCAATGCTTCAATAAATCATTTTTCTAAAGTGCTCTGTAACTCAGCGGGGAAAAACAAGTTCCCAGTTATTAATTCATCCGTTTATCTATATCGTCTTCGACGCATCAATTTATCTGTCCTTCTATCGAATCACCCATTAATCCTTTCTTTCCCACGAACTCAATTTTATTGAAAATTCAAAGAAAAAGCCGTAAAATATTTCAAAACAATGAAGCTCTATAAATTTGTTCATAAATCCGATTAATACAAAGAATAAAAACATAACCTCGAGTTATAAATTAATAGTGCAAACAGCGAAGAATATTCCATTCCCTTTCAACACAAAAAAGAAATAAATTTCACCGAAATATCAATTATACTTAACCCTTTCTAAGTTACACCGCGTTAGTGTTTCTCGCCCGCAAGCGAAAGACTAATTCCTATCAAAATATAGAGTTCAGTACCGAAAAGCCTCGACAAGCCATCTTCTATAGGGATTTTTCTTATATTCATCTTGCCATTTAAGCGTCTGAAAAGAGATGCCTATGTTTCCGAAGCGTACTTAACGTTAAATGGATTATCTACTTTTTCTAGCCTGCGTGCAGCCGGACTTTTCTCTCGTATAGTATAGTATATATAGACGAACTTAACAGTCAGTTAGTTCGGCTGCACGCAGGCTAACGTTTTCGCACCAATGCCAACTCGACCCAGTCTTTTTCTCCACCTCGTAGCGGCGAATCTAAAACTTTTTCACGATCTATATTATTACAGTAATGGTATTTTTCCATGGATTTTCTTGAGGATATTTTCGAACATCATTCACCTGCCTTTGATGTTTTTAAAACTTATATTATTCTTAACAAAACATTGTGAAACATAATAATAATAAAATAATAACATAATGCGAGACATCTTATCAGACGGCCTATCCTTACACTCTTCTCTTTAAAACCTTTCAAAACCCTCAAACCTACCCTCAGGGTAAGAGCTTTTACGTTACCTCTTTCTATGTCTAATATCAAGAAACTTGACATTCCTACTAAAGAAAGTGAACAGCTTTAAAGAAACGCGGTTTGATAAGGTTTTCCCTCTTGGATAATGATATTAGGACACGATGTTTCTTGTATTCATACTCATCAGTCATCAGTGGTTCCGCTAGTCTCTCCATCAGCTGCGATGTCTTCATTTTCTATTATCCGGTACGCCTACGTTCCGCTATCTTTTGGCTTTCAATATTATAGCCTCCTACGCGATTTATCTTTCTCTCAGATGTGGGATTCCTATGGTAATGGAGAGAAGAGAGACTGAGGAGAGTCCGCTAAGGCACCACAGGGAACCCATAAAAACAGATATGGACTCATTTCCAAATATTAAAATATAAATATCTCACCACCATACAACTCTCAAAAAAAAAAAAGGTTTGTTAGTATCACTCAAAAATAACCTTTATTTACAGAACCAATTGTCCGCGTGCGTGGCGCTGGGGTCTGGTACAGAATACCATTTTTGGTTAATGACGTATGTTCGCTATTTAGTTCAAGCAGGTAAGAAGTAGTTCTTTTAAGGCTTACCCCATATTTGGAGGAACTCCTTCATTTTTATTCCAGGTTTTGGGAAGAGGGGAGGGGAGGGCAAGTAGTGTTGTGACCCGGAATTCATGGACTGAAAAACTCGTAATTATTGTTTAGTAAATATATGTCTTTCCATTTCTAAAATTAAACTAAAATAAATAAATAAATAAAACAATATTTATCAACAATCAGAAATTGCGTAAGTGCGACTATGATACTATGACGAGAAAGAATGAAAAAGCCTTATCAAATAAAAAAATGAAAAGAAAAAAGAACCAACTGTATTTTTATTTCTTTCAAAAAAAAAACGAAAAAAGAAAATAAATCATACGATCACGAACAAATTTTGAATAAAAAGATTGTACAGAAAAAAGACAAAAAGTAAGACTGTCTTTTCGTTTAAGTTTCAGTTGAAACGCGTACGATTTCAATGAAATAAGAAAAAGCATAACAATAACAAACTATAATTTGTGTATTCATAATTTTTTCCTTGTTTAAGAAAAGCTGAGATAAGGACAATAGAATCCTATGAAAACAAAGTATTTTTAAAATGATTTATTTATTGTTTTGTTTGGTTGTGACTGATCACATCCAGCTGTCTATACCATCCTCGCCAACTTTCCTTCCATCAGTAACCTCCAACAGTTATCTCCCATCATTAACACTAAGCGTGTGGTCAACTATCGTCTGTTTGTAATTTATGGTTTTGTTTAATTCAAGGACTTGAGTCACGTCTTCGAGAAGTTTGTGATGAATTCCTTGGACCCCCGTATAGGTTAGTAACAAAAAAAAACAGTTCCCAGTGGTGAATATTCAACACTACGTAATGAATAGTGCAATATCAGGTTAGAAAAAAATGGATTAATTGGACGTTCATTTGGAGTACAAATTACGCGGTTGAGAGGGTGCGCACGGATGCGCAAACAACGATTGTGGATTTGTTGATTGAGCTTGCTTTGGCTTTAAACAGGTGCTTGGCTCGTAGGCCTTTTCGGCTTTGGCTTAATGGTTTCCTATTTCAGACCATGTGTCATTTCCTAGAGTATCATCCCTTTGTTTAATGGATGCGCACGAGGGACACATGAATATGGACACCACGGAAACAAGAAATCTTATTCTCAACAGAATAACATGTGRTTTTGAAATGGGAAAACATTAAGCCAAAGCCGATTGTTGCAATTGTTGATTAGTGCATGTCACGATACCCGATAGATCATAGTATATCTAGCATCATTATCACTGCATTGATCCATATCATGATTACGATCATGGTATGAACATGATATATGCAGAGAGTCGATATATATGTCATGATTGCAATCTCATTTCTCTCAACATGGATCAGTCAATTCCCATATTGAGCATCTTCACAGGAAGCCCAAGCCTTGTATTGTATTTTTCAAATCTTTTAAGCATGAACGCCGTTTTGGCGCTGCTAAGAAATAAAAAAAAAAAGGCAGAATGAGTACCATTTCTTTCACATTTCTTCCTCTGCTTATTTGATCTTTTCGTTCTCTCAGGTCAAGTCTACATAGCAAGATTTCAGGGTGGACCCCAAGAATATTGGTAAATACCTCTACAAAGTTTGTTACTACCTTATTTTCTATTTAACCATGAGTAAAGCCGTGTGTTGTTGGTATAACGTAGAGTTTTTGTTGTTTTCAGGGATATACAAAGAGAGAATTGCTGGCAGAGATCCTGCCTATTATTGGTAAGAAATTATTACTGCTGGAGGAAAATGGACGGTTGGATGAGTGAATTGAGGGGAGAGAGGGAGGGACGGACGGACGGACGGATGGATAGATGGATGGACGGATGGATGGAGGGAGAGTGGAGGGAAGAATAGATGGATGGATGAAATGGTGGATGGAAGGACAGATGGAGGGATGGAGAGCCAAGAATAGACGGATGCACGTAATGATGGAGGGAGTGAGAGAGAGGGAAAGGAAGTGTGGAGAAAAAAACCCCAGAGAAGATACTAATCGACACCATCACCATCACAGGTACAAACATTCGACTTCAGAGGCTGTTTACTGAATACAAGGACCAGTTAGATGCCGTGGAACCTCGGTGACAGGACCTTATTACCGTGACGGTTGCTAACAAGAACCAAGACTAAAGGCATTCGTAAAGTAGACTTACATACCATGGCGCATGCGTGTATTATATCTCAACGCTGACGCATGAAATGCGAGGCACTTGGCAAAAATACTCATGATATACTTCGATGCGCATGGGTGAATTATGTGTACGCGCTGACCCAAAATTGTAAGAAATTCTCCATTGCGCATGCGTGCAAYACATTTTGGCGCTGACCCAAAGCCTGTGAATTTTCATCTCAGAATGTAAGGACTGCCGTGGTAAGAGAGGCATATGAACTCTCTGAGAGGGGGCGAGGACGTGATATTTTGAGCAATCTTTTGATTGTTTCTTGGCAGAAATCTTCTATTTCATAATTTATTACGCTGTTTATATATGAAGGGTAGGGAGACTAGACTAACTTTTGACTTCAAATTATTATTACAGTTTATAAAAATGTCTTTGAAGGGAGGGGAGGGAGGGCACGTGATGGGATGTTTTTACTCCATTTCTATACATTAAATACTATTTTTATGGATGGAAGAGGAGGCTAAGAGACGATTTAAAAAGCCTCGACTCCCTTCTTCTGATCAATACTTTTTGTCTTTATGGGATGGGAGGGTGAGTAATAAGGCCATTCTATACTACTCTGTCTACTTGGTAGTTTTCTTTACAAAAATGTTCTTGGGTAGAAAACATTTAAGCGTTCGCGAACCAATGTTGGAGGCCAAATCATTTCATTTTTTGTACGGTTCTAGAGCTCATTTTCGTGTCGCGATATGCGCAGCTCTCAGCGTTGTTGTTTTTTACAGTATTCGCTTATTCTCAACCATATTCGACTATTGGATGTAAGTCTTTGTTGTTCTCGCTAAAGTTAGTAATATCTTCAAGTAACCCCTCCACTATGTATCTTTTAACAGCATCTATTATTTATCTCCAAGCTCCGCCCGTTTCTAATTGGTTTCCCTATTGACGCAGCATTCACAACCAACGGTTCTAATTAAGTACTATGAGAACTCCATTAATGGTAGCCTTTCGGGGAAATTGAGAGATCTCTGTGGGCGGTTATCGTAATATGGCGCCAATATTTAGAGAATAATCGTTCACGAAACCTTCCACGTGTCGTTATTCGAATCATTGAGCCGGCATCTTTGCGAAACATTACTTCTTTCGGCGTCCAATAAAGCTTGTATTATGTTGTTTAGACTACTAGAAATAACTAAGAAAATAAGCGCTGTGTTGTATAAGTATAACTGTGAGTATATTATTTTATTATGTGAGAACGTTGTGTTGTATTGTATTGTATTGTAATAATAAAAGAATAAATTATAGAACTTAATTAATATATGATTATTGATATTTATGTCATTTTATACCTTCGTGTTCGTAAATCCTGTTTTTGGCACCGAAAACGCGAGACGTGAGTCGTTGAACTGATGAAAATTGTCGCGAATTGGTGTGAATAACTCGAATCTTTGAAAAAAATAAGTCATTATCATTAGCAGAGAGAACTCTCGCCATAAAGTTACCGCTAAAAAATTTATAATAAACCATTTAAGATCAATCTCGGGACAGAAATAAAGTTACAGTTTCTGAGTCGATAGCGTTAAGTTCTGAAAACAGTACATATCAAATAGGGTTGTACTTTTTCTAAGAAATTTTTTTTTATATTTCTTTTCATTATTTTCAACTAAAACTCACTACTTATCTTGTATTACTTCTCGTATTTTCAAACAAGGTATATAACTATATTCCCAAGGAAAAATGTTGTTTTTACCAAGCAATATTTATTATGACATCTCTTGCGTATTTTCTCGATGTTTGTCTTCGTAGCATCAGGCTCTCCCTCGATTATTTTGAATTAGAACTAAAAAGGGGTTTCAATTATCGCTATTTAATGATACCCCCTGCCGAGGGATTCGATTATATCAAATTGGAGCGATTTGGAATTGAGTTGTGTATAGCTCGGAAGGTTTTTATCTCATTTTCTTTGTAAATTTTAAAATTCATACAAAATAATGGGGATTTCTCCATCTATTCTAATATCAATATGGTTGCACTTGCTTTCGGCTTTTCTTTATGACAGCAGACAAATTATAATTTCTTCATAGGAGAATTTTTTAAAAACAGATACAAATTTTTTGGGATTCTCTTCGATAGTTTTCTTTAGCTTAGAAATAATTCATAGTTTATGGATTTTACACTTCACAAAATTAAATCTCGGGTCGAGTTTACTTATTTCGCCATGAGTTTGTTTTTGATCCAAAATGTGTGAGCATAAATTAAATCTTTTTATATATTTAGTTTACTTCATCATCCGGTTTTCAAGTGTCCCTACTTTTATTTTTGTTCATCAAATGATAAGCAGGAAATATATTTTCTAACTTAATTCGTTTAGGCGTATAAACCTATGGTAAACTTTCGATTTGTTTATAATCTCGGGGGGTCTATAAAACGAAGGCTAGCTTTAGATAAATATTATTGATTTCCCAAATCTTTATGTTTTCTCCTTTCGATTACATATTGTTATTTATTATTATTTTATTTTATCTTTCGGAATCTTTCTCTTGCTTACATCTTACACGCGGTTTTCTTCGATGCACGTGATTTTTTTTGGCGCGAAATGTTCCCGCGAAATTCACCAGAACTTAATTAGCAGCGACATCAAGAGAATCTCAATCGTACACGAATCCACTGTTCTTCCAGAATGAAATAATTTATCCCGTGTTCTATGATTTTTTGTTTGCATCTTTTTAAAAACTTGAATGATTAAACTAAGATAAAACTTTTCCCTAGATTTATAATACAAAATGGGATTTTGCCAAATGTAAAATGAATAAGGTCATTTTGTACAACAACAGCAACTACAAAAAACACCACTTACATTTACATTGCATTACCTTTGCTATATTTCAATTAGCAAACTTTTAAGTCTTAATTTATTCATCAGCAAAATGACCAAATTCTAAACTAATTCATTCATGAAAAAATAACTTATCTTTTTACAAAACGAAGCTGTTGAAACATTTTACTTTGAATTGTAAAGTATAAAGGTTTTCAGGGCTTTTTAATCTCCCTGCAAACCACTTAAATCTCTTTCCGAGCTCTTAGAATTTCATAGCAAAAGTTATTTTCAAGAGGGAAACTACAAAGAGGGATGAGAACAATTTACAGAATGAATGAAAATTAGCAAGTAAACCTGTTTGAACTGCGTCGGTGTTAAGTGTCATCTTGGGTTAATCCTAACTTCGTAAAAATTTCCAAAAATAGGTCACAAATAGGTCCTTCGTTTACAGGAAAAAAGGAATAAACGAAAAAAATATTTATTCGTCTTGAGATACTTGAACTACTATTTTAAAATTTGGTTAGAATYATACTGCGTTTGTTTTTGGAATTATTTATCTATTTTTTCGTTCAGTCTTTCTTTTATATTTTTGTCCTCTTATCTCTTTTCCCTCTAGCGTCTCTCTTATCTTAATATGAGAAGTTCGGGGAAAATCAAAAGTTTTTTTCGGAATTACAGCGATTTTTTTCAGGTTATTTCGTAAATTTTCTACGGATTTAAGCGCTCAAAAATAAAGCATTGGCTTCAAATATTAAACACCGATTGATGGAAATAAATCTTATTTCCAATCGACTTGCGATGATTTACAATAAGCTAGCATTTTAAAAACTCGTCTCTAAAGTGTCTCCTCACTGTAAAACAGATCATCCATCTTTTTAGCACGATTAAATATTTTGCGAAAACTATCGTACCACGACTTCCACATTACATACGTTAGACACTTGTGTTCTGCAACAAACATCTTGAACGAAAACTCTAGAGAACGGGCGTGTAGGCGGCGTAGGAAAGCACAATAGACAGCTTTAATCTTGTTGTATATTATTATGATATTTGAAGAAATAATAAGTACAATTCGGGAGGAAATATGCCTGTAATACTCTTTTTATTGTATATTGAATTTATTTTTATCAATTCTCAACATCTGAGTAGAGTTTTATTCCTCATTTTCGTGTGAGATTCTACGCATGCGTAGAGAAATCAATTTCGATTCAATTGCTATCAATAAGAGGCGATTGCCGTAATTATTTTTTATCAATTCTCAGATACTGAGTGGAGTTTCATTCTCGTTAGTTTCATTTTTTGCGTGAGATCTACGCATGCGTAATAAACTCAATTCCAACTCGATAATTATCGATGATTGACGTGGCTGTAGGCAAGAAGACTTAATTTGCAATTGCCACGGAAACGCCCTTACATGTGCTCGAGTTTTAAGTTTTAGAAATTGATAGCTAAATTGGATCAAATCAAAAATCAATCAAAAGACAGGTTTTCTGGCATTAGAGGATTATTTTTTATTTCTCGTAGTAATTGTTCTTTAAAACTTGTGTTTCCATAGTTACGGTATGCAACCAATCATATCACAGCTTTTTTTTACGACTTCACTGGGTTCTTTCTTTCATTTTACGAATCTTCTTCCATCTCTCTCTCTCTCTTTTTTTTTTCGTTCTTTCTTTCTTCTCTGATCTTTTTTTATTCAAAAGCATTTTTGCTTTCTCTCACTCTTTCCTATTTCTTTTCTCCTTCTGTTATTCTKTTATTCTTTATATTCTTTTTTTGTTCTTCCCTACTTCTTTCCATCATTCTTCGTTTAGTTCATTCTTTTTTCCTTTCTTATCCTTCTACTCTCTTGTTCAATCGCTTGGCTTATTAATTCAACTTGCTTCGTGTATCCCAGACCAAGAGAATTCGTGTTAAATTAAAATCCTTCCTAAGATTCACTTTTTCTAATGTTAACTAATAAGATCCCAAATAATGACTAAACTAGGAGTACCTTGTGAATCATTGATAAGCACACAAACACAGCTCAGTATCAGCAAAGCAGCCTCATTAATCTTATTCATTAATTTTTAAAAGAACTTCGAAAAAACAACACTGACTTGTTAAAAAGATATAACTAGCTAAGAACTAGTGTGAGCTGCGTCGGTGTTTCTAATGAAACAGTAATGATGAAAAGGTAAATTATACACCGTGAAAAGATGAAAAAACTTACTTAAATACAATTACGACTTACAACAATTGTGAGTAAACTTAAAACTGAACTGAAATTTTAGACTTATTTCATTTTTTGTTGTTATCTTCGTTTTTAATGAGCAAATTTCAATCCACTTTGGCCGTTTTAAGCGAGGCTATATCTACGTGATACTAATTTCGTTATCAACGAGATAAATAAATAGCAATGAATCTTTTATCAGCTGCCTTACATCAACCTTATTTGGGAGTTTTAGTTTTCGACGGATTTCTTTTAGAGTTTTAAAATCCTCTCAAAAAAAAAAAAAAAAAAAAAAAAAAAAAAAAAAAAAAAAACTAAACTGCTTCCAAAATCATTGATTAAAATGCATGCTCTAATATCGTTCAAAGTAACTAACTCATTGCTAACGTAATATCCTAGATAGTATTTCACTGCCATTTGACAGCATGTCAATGAAAATAATCCCACTTCAAATGATTTTAAATCTATCTCATTTTTTTTCCTAGAGACATCGAGTTCTCTGCTACTTTTCAAGGCTACCACAATTTATGTTAAAAATTTAATTTATAGCTAAGTGTTTCCATATTGAACTAATTAATCCCATTTTGAGGTATTATTTACTTCTTTTGCGACACACTTCAAGTTAATGTCGCTTTGAAGCAAGAATGATAAATCGTGTTAGAAAGTAGTTTGTTTTTATTTCACTTATTTGGGCGTACAAAATAATTTCGATGGAGCTCGATCGCTACGATTATGGGCTAAAAAAGATGAAAAAAGTTTCAGAAACTGGTGAAAATGCGCCGAAAAACAATCAACATACCTCCCCACCCCCCACCCCATTTTTTTTCTCCAACATTAAGTAAAAATCTATTTCCAGTTTTTAGTTTGTGACAGCCATAAATCATCAATGCCTTCAACATTAATTTCCTTGTCTTTGACCTTTTCCTCCAAATAAATTTGGGTATTTTTAGTTTCACGTACAAAAGTTAAACACAGAACTTCAAATCACACTTTCTTTCAATATTTACATTAGTATTAAGTCTTGTTTTGAGTTTACAATAGAGCGATTCCTTACTCGGCCAAATTCAGTATCCATAGTAACAGCGGCGTTCTTGCGATTCGATCGATATCGGATATTTTTTGATGGTTCTGTCTCAGTCTACCCGACGTTCTACAAAAGGGGGGAGGCCCAATTTCATTATTACAACCCCCCTTTCCTCCCATTCCCTAGACTAGCTGTCTTTACTTTAACTGTTTGAATATATTTTGAAATTATTCTATTGAATCTGTCTCTCCGCTTTAAATGGGATCTATATTGTACTGCTACTTTCTATTGAAATATTTTGAACAAATGAAAGTAGCGCTCATTGTTGTAAAAAAAATTATCGTAAAAACAAAAAAGTATTTCAAATTTTCGCTGCCTAAAGTAGTTTGGAAAGTCTCGTTATTTGTATAAATTTCGAAATATTAACAAGAATGTTTTTGGGGGAATTGAAATGTTAGTGTTTGATTTGCATACATGTAGAATGGTATCTCGGGTTTAAGAGAGTATTTATCGATAGTATCAGTATTATTTGACATGATATTTTTTTATTTGAATGAGAATGGTGATCGATCTTCGAGATTGTGGTTGATTATAATAGAGTTTTAGATTCAAAACAGGGATTAAGAAAAAAGCCATAAATTTGTTCGAATTCTTCTTTCCTTACAAAGCTCTCGCATTGTATAGCCATTGTTTTGTCTTTGGGTTTTTTTAAAAGATTTTCTCAACGATCACAGACAGCTGTTTCCGTCCATCTTTGCTAGATCTGATCTTTATACCCCAGACCACTGCGCTAGTGTTTCTACAGCAAGTTTTCATCCTACGCATTTGACCGCAAATGAAATAACGAGGAACGATGGCAGAAATATGGTCTTATATCGTGAATCATACTCGAGCAAAATCGGCTTCTTTTCAGATAACAGAATTTTTGAATATTTTTAAAAGTTTGCTATTTCGCTAATGGACTACACGCGTACGGAACATAAGGAAATCAATAATAGAATGTGGGTGGACCAATGGTTTTACACGTCATGATATCAATATTCCTTATCAATGAAATCATTTTGTAAGGACACAGTGTACACTATACGCTGTTTCTGTAGGCATCAAAAACRCGACTCTCGCTTGTCCTGGCTAACGCACCATTTCCGATTAGACTAGCCGGCAAAGCAGGACGATGCAGAGGGGTTTTCTCGTTTATTTTATACCATTTTTTTGCCAACGAATTAACTAGCTTTAATTGATTCAATTCAGAATTGAGAACATGGGCTACTTAGGACATGCCAGTTTTAGGTCTGGTCAAGAAATGTTTTGAAGTAGAGGTATACATCTCGCTTATAGTGTACTTTACGTTCGACATCTAAACGTTATTCCACGAAAGGCGCGAGTAAGACCACGGAAAAACATTGCCGGTCAATCACCGAGAGATCTTACGGTGACTGAATCCGGAAGACCTTTGAAAACATGGGAAAACATGGGATTGAAAACTGGAGTGATTGTCTTATAGCAGTGTTAGTAATTCTGTTATTTTGTGTTACTCTATTACTGAATATTCTAGCTCTGCATTACACCTATAGCAAGATCCGAAAGCCGTCGAACAAAAAAATCCCACATCTTCTGGTAGGCGCTCTTTCGTTAGGTGGCTTGGGCATAGCCATTTTTGAGTATCCTCCATTTATTGCCTCGAGATTCCAAGGGGAATGGCTGAACGATTCTGGAGTTTGTAGCTTTGTTGCCTTCATAATTGTTTTGTTTGGAAACTTCACTATATGTTTGGTTGTTTTGATGAGCTTAGAACGGCTAGGCGCAATAGTCTTTCCATTCTACTACAAAGAACACGTTGATTTTCGCAAGGCTGTTATTGTACTCGTTCTAGTGATAATTTACTCTATACTACTAGCAAGTTTGCCCATATTTTTGGATCGAATCCGACTTAATGTCTCTACCGGTGTTTGTACATACGCCGTGGACACTCACAACACCAACACGAGGATAATAGTGGCTGTGATGGTCTCTCACTACATCGCCTCTATAGTCTTGATGTTCATATCAAACTTGGTCGTTGTAAGAACTGTAAGTAAGCTTGATAAAAACACGATGTCGGATGAATATTCAAGTCGAAGTGGAGAGAGAAAGCATCATGGGGGCAATGCCTGCTTAAACTTCGCGAAAATGGTTGGCGTTCTGGCGTTTTGCTACACAGTTTGTTGGACAGTTATTTTGGTAAGTAGTTGAAGTTTATGTATGTAAGTATGTGCGTGTGTCTGTTGTATATATATATGTATATATGTATTGACTATCGACAGACAGACAATGCCAACAAGCGGGAGAGCTAGAGATCGGTGATAAATTCAATCTCATGTATTGGCTTTAACTCTCGTAGTATTTTGCTGTTTGAAGCGTGAATATTAATATTTTTTCCCCTAAACTTGTAATAACCGTGAAAAGGAAGTCAGGATGTTGTGAAAATCATTGCAACAAATTTCAAAAATTATTTTCTTCATCGATTCATTAAATCTGGAAACGAAACCTCAGACTTCAAGCATGAAATATTTAGAATCCAGAGATAATAACTGCCTCTTGGGGGCTTAGTACAGCACTTTTACTATAACCGGGTAGATATTCCGACTAAAAGCACTTTACTTCTGATTGTCAGATATCCATCCTCACTAAAATAAGAAAATTTCGCTTAGATTCCCGCGCGAAAACAATCTTTTAATATTGCCTTCTTCATGACTTTTTTTTTATAAACCGCCGTACAATTAAGAAATTTCAAGAGTTGGGTTTTCCAATGATTCGTGGTACAGTATTGGTTTCAAATATCAGACTCACATGTGAAAAAAAAAAAAAAAATGTAAAGCAATTATTTTCCCGGAAGAAATTTTTACAATATTTTTTCTTTATTGTCTCAGAATATTATTTTCAATTTGAATAGCTTTCGGAAATAATTCAAAATTTCAAATTTCCATCAAATTGATGATTCGGATATTGGAAAAAAGTTTATCTTTTATTGCAACTCTTTTTATTATACACTGAATACTGTACAAAAAAAAAAAAAAAATTTTGGCGACTGGTTTGTGTTCTGATAAATTTGAGTTTAAATGTGACGCGACCTTGATAAAATTGCCAATAACAATTTCCGAGTTTTAAAATCGAGATGATTTTTTAGAGCTTCGATGACAAAGGCATCAGAACAATTATTTTTGTAATTGCTTCYCCCAAGTAAGAAAAAAAACCCCAATATTTGTACAAATCATGCCACTTGTTTGGGCTAAAGTAGAAAAATATTGATGAAATTCGCTTGATTTGTACTCCTTTTATGCCGGAAATGTAAAAACATCAATCAAACACTACCACAAAAATACGATTTTTCTCGTGATAAATTATGTAATTATTCTTGGTGAAATATGTGGGATTTTAATGTCAGCAGCCTTAATTTGAATTATTGTGAGCCTGCCAATAATATGATGTATACTATATTCTTGTCATTTGTCTTTGAAGTCGAATCTTCCTTGCGGTTTTCAAGTTTATTTTTATTCCTTTACAGCTTATTTAGCCACGGATTTTAGTTCAAAAATCCTAAATTTTGCATTCCATAAAACTTTTATGATTTTAGCACTAGATTTTAACCACAACTTAGAATTGTTGGTTTAGTAATGATCATGACTTTATTGTCTCTGACCGCGACTTTACGGCTTTCAATTATTTTTCGAATATCCGAAAAGAAATTCATGAAAGATCTTAGAGACTTTAGTATTGTCTTAGAGTTAATCCTATCCGTCCGTCTTAAAGTTTTTAGTCAGCTGGATTATTTTTTTTCTCTGTTATAATTCATCGGATCTTAACTGCCAGAGAAGTACATAAAATTTCCCTCGTAAAAATGAAAAAGAATTCATTATATCCGCGCATAAGTTGTACGTCGAGATCAGAGTCGGGAAACGAAATGAGATGGATTCTAGGAGACATGGGAAGGAAGTATTAGGAAATATGAAGTGATTAAGAACATTCCAACATGGTAGGACCGGAGATAGACAGATGGACAGACAGACAGACAGATAGACAGATGGACAGACAGACAGACAGACAGAGCCTTAGAATGAGAGAAAAAGATTGAAGGACCGTTTGAATGAGAGGATGAAAGACAGACAGACAGAGCGTTCGAATGAGGGAGAAAAGACAGACAGACAGACACCACAGGCAAGACAGATCATGCAAGGTTCTAATAGAGAATTCACTGATAAACAGTCGTTCTGATGAAATGATGAAAAACCTACTTTGGCACTTACGTAGAATACTAAGACGGAAGAAATTATGAAGGAAAGGATGGAAGAAAGAAAGAAAGAAAGTGACGAACAAAAACGACTGAACATGTCCAACATTAAAATAACTGCAAACGACTCGGAATCAAAGATTAAATCAATCTTTTCTACTCTCAGTAAAAGGCCATCCAGATTCCTACATTAAAATCTTTTACTGGTAGATCACAGACAAGATAGTCATATCAAAACCATTCTTGCTCTCGACTCGATATGATCACTTGACGTTCAAATCTCATATATTAAGCATCGCGATGGAAAGCCAAGTTAAACGATAGTACTTATTGATGATGGAGACAAAATCAAAGAAGGCTTTTAGTTTCTCCAGTATTCTTACTCTATCTAAAAGTACTCAAAATCGTTTTAATATTGGAGGTCATTAGGATCTTGAGATCTTTTTCGTGCTTCTTAAGGTGTACGCAAACACTTGGTTCCAAGATGGCGGTTGTCTTTGAACCCTGAATGATCACCCGGGTAACATAGTAGTGCCTTGCCAAAATGTTAGTTATGTCTTGATAATCATTTTAGTATAAAATACAAGCATGACTGAGGTACCCTTATATTAGCTTAATATTAGTCATTAGACTCTCCCATGTGTGGACAACAGGGCTTATTCCACTCGTGGGATGGAGATCGAGGCGCCTTAGGGTAGTTTATAACATGAGGATAGCAGATGATATGCTGGTAACGGCAATGATATATATACATAATTCCTGATCCTTTCGTAAAATAGGATTATCGCTCTCGTAGTTTTAGCGCGTATCAAGTCTATGTATATGTACTTTTTGCGTATAGCCTTTTAGCCGGTTAAGAGGCTCCGTTCTTGAGACGTGTTCTGATTCAGTCGCTGAATATTCCATCGAGTCATCTAGGTAAATTATAACGAGAGTCTTTTAGAAGCCAAAACCAGGCTAAACCAACATGTTTGACCTGTTGAAGCCAATACATCTCTTTTCGTAGGAATTACAGAAGATTTGCCTATGCCCCCTCCCTCAATCTCTCTCTCTCTCTCTCTCTCTCTCTCTCTCTCTCTCCTTCATTCTCATTTCCGCTCTTTGATTTAGTATGGGAATAGTGCATAGATTCTACGAGAAACGAGAAAAGAAATCAGCCCAAGGCTAACGGCGGCGGCTTTTTTGATTCCCGAACTCTATCGGCACAATCTTTCTAATATGTGTTATATCGCTTTAACCACTCACTTTAAATAAAAACCTTTATATACTACCATCTATATGTTGTTTAGACGGCTTGAGAATACAATCGGTATTTAGGGCGGAGAGAAAAATTGATGAAGAATAGTGTTTTCATGTTTGTTATATATTTCAATTATCTGTTAGAAAAAAAAGCATTAAATCTGGAAATTACTGCTATTATTAATAGAATTGTTAGAGTCTGGGGGTAATAGTCAATGCTTTTAACTCAGTAGTTTAGTAAAATTGTAGAAGTGTTGGCGACAGTGCTGAAGGGATTCTATAATAATAGTCTTACCCGGGTTTGATATCCCGCCCTCGGCATTGCTTAATTGTTGATTGGTTCTCTCCTGTGCTTCGAGGGTTTTTTGCCGGGTAGTCTCCGGTTTCCCTCTCTCCCTCCCTCAACTTCTAAATACATCTTGATTCAGTCGAATAAGTACTCTGTAGAACCAGTAAATCCTATTTATTTGTTCATTTATTTGAAAGAATTCTATTCAATAGATGAACGTGTGTATTTTAGGATGGAAATACTGTAGATCTATTTGATGCACTTGGCTCTAACTGAATTAAGAAAAAWTTTTTGAACAAAACGATTTCAAGATCAAAATCTACACCAAAAATTAAAATCATTAGGAAAAGCATAACACTGTTTTATCGATATTTTTTTTTAGGTTTCAATCTCATTTCCATCGGATTTGCTTAAAGTATTTTGGTCTTATCGCAGTTATAAAGAAGAAGAAAAATCAGAGTCGCTTGTTTGTCGACGAGAAATTAAGAAAAATATTTTATCGGTAGAAAACATTCAAAACCCACGAGAGATTAAAAGATCACAACTTGTCAAAATTTTAGGGATTTGTTTTGTTATTTTGAAGTTGATAAAGGGATGAGAGAAGATTAGAATCTAAAGATAAGACTGAAGTGTTTGGAGCGAACACTAGCTTGAYTTATAGTCCATTTGCGTGTTTATAGATAATTCTTTTTGATGAGCTGTAATTGGAGGAAAAATTTGTGAATGAGAATAAGCGTTAATACGATTGAAGGACTATATATCTCTCTTCTCTCTTTATCCTTGCATCCGTCCTATTCCATCTATCCATCCATCCATCCATCCATCCATCCATCCATCCATCCATCCATCCATCCAATCCTTTTTTCATTTTTCATAATTTTCATCCATTCAACCGTCCATACCTTTTTTATTCATCCATCCAAACATCTAACAATTTCCTCTCAAAGCTCTGCTTCACTTCGGTGGAAATTTTCTTCTCAACCCAACAATACCACAGTCTCAGTACAAATTATGGTCATCTGTTTTATGCTGTTTTCGTGCGTTCTTTGCTCCCACGAGAAAAACTAATGCATCGTAATAATTCATCTTTCCTGGCTTTGTTTTGCTCAACATTGATAAATATTCCCACGCATCGCAGTTAAAACCAATTGCCAAAGATTTCTCATGTAAAATAGAAATGTAGAGGAAACAGTGGCTTTTAAAAGCGAGCAACAAGCTGCCATTAAAACCAAGCAAAATAGACTTAATCATTTATTTTTCTTTTCAAACTTCAAAATTATTACGAAGTTTTGATTCTATATTGTCTTTTTTGTTTTTATGCTTTTTTAAGATTTTCATTATGACAAAGAGAAATAACCACGTTTTCTATTTTTTTCCATGATAAATTTTCTCCGTTGATCACGTTTTTGGTCTTAGTGATGATTCGTAATTAAAGCACGTTTCAGGGATGGCAAGTCTCTTTTAATCTCGCTCATTTCTCTTCCGGCTTTTTTCCTCTTTCTAACATAATAACTTTCTCTCCCTTTCTTTGGTTCGTTTTCTCTTTTCCTTTTCAATTCTATATTCTTTGCTTTCCTCTCGTTTTTTCTTAAAGATTCTCTTATTTTCTTTATCTTTTTACTTCATGATTCATTCTCATGACAAGAGGGTTTAGCTATTGTTCTTTGAACAAACTTACCCCCTACAATAACAAACAGATCCTCAAAAGCCTGCAATCTTTTTTCTCACAAAAACAGACTTTTTAATTAAAAAATAAAAATAAATTGTGATGTTTGTTCTTAATCAAACATGTATTTATTTGGKTTTTTTTTCGTTCGTTCGACGAACTAAAACGCCGGGGCTTGTTTGGTGAAGCGACATAGAGTCGCACTAAATCTCCATTTAAATTGAAAAAATGTCCACCTTTTATACAGCTAATTATTGAAGATGAAAAGAAATTTTGCATTTAGCTGTCCTAGCTTAGAAAAGCGAAATAAATTCACTTAAAATTCTCTTGTGGGAGATTAAATTTTTAATGTAGGTTGGTGAAGCCTGATTTTCGACAGACACGAGTATCATAGCCAGAATATTCGCGTGAAATATCGACACATGAAAAAAGGCGGTCAGATAATTGAGATATCGTGTCGGGAATTTAATTCATTAGGGGAATGAAGACATCACTTGAAGATGGTGATTATACTAGTCGGTTTTGCCAATTACAATCATTATGAGGGCTAATTCATGGTCACGCGCGATTGAAAAATGGAATAACAAGAAAATAGGACAAATATGCCATAACTAGAGTTTTAGAAGGAAAGAATTTCTTTAGACGTATTTGCTCACTATCAATAAGAGCATCCATCTCCCATACTGGGTCTGTGAGAAGGCATATTCCCAGATCAGGAGCCCATTACTAGGAGCATCCATCTCCCATACTGGGTCTGTGA